TTTTTTTTTTTTTTCAATGTTTATTTTATTTTTCAGAGACAGAGCATGAGCAGGACAGGGTCAGAGAGAGAGAGAGGGAAACACAGAATCCGAGCTGTTAGCACAGAGCCCAATGCAGGGCTTAAACCCACGAACTGTGAGATCATGACCTGAGCTGAAGTCAGACACTTAATCAACTGAGCCACTCAGGTGCCCGAGGAACTAGCCTTATTATTTGTTTATACAACTTTGTGCTTGTCACTCAGTAATTCTCTTTTTATCTTTATTTCTTATTTGTTGTTTTCCTATTTATTGTTTTTTTTTCCAACTTTTTGAGTTACATGCTAAAATCCTTTTTCAGTCTTGATTTTTATTGATAGATTTAAGGCTATTGATTTCCCTCTGGCATTTGACTTGAATCTCATGGATTCTCCTGTATAATGTCTTTATTGTTTTTATAAGAATTCTGCAGTTGCATTTTGTATTTCCCATTTTATTCAAGAGTTGATAGTTTAGGGGCACCTGAATGGCTCAGTCGGTTAAACGTCCAATTTTTGCTCGGGTCATGATCTCGCAGTTCACGAGTTTGAGCCCCGCACTGGGCTCAAAGACAGAGCCTGCTTTGGATTCTGTGTCTCCTTCTCTCTCTGCCCCTTCCCCACTTGTATTCTGTTTCTCTTTCTCTCAAAAATAAATAACACATTTTTAAAAATTTGTTTAAAGAATTAATAGTTTAAAATCTTGGTTTAATCATCTTTTTATTTTTGACTTCATTAAAACATTTTTACTGTGTTGCTTTTAGATAACATTTTTCTTTATTAACCAGGTTTTGGAATTTATTGAGGTTCTTTGTGGTTCAGTATATGATCATTTTTCATGAATGGATTTTTGAAAAGCAGATATATATTCTGAGAGTACAGAGTTAAATATTTAAGTGTAAGATCACCTAATTCATTTTATTGTTTTGTGGGCTTTATCCTCTTATTTTTTCTTATTTATCCCTTTATTTAAAAAATTATTTCTTTTGAGAAAGAGTGTGTTTAGTGGGGTAGGGAATAGGGAGAGAGAGAATCCCACCCAGCCTCTGTACTGCCAGTGTAGAGCCCTATGCAAGGCTCAGTCTCACAAATCATGAGATCATCACCTGAGGCTGAAACCAAGAGTCAGATGCGCAACCAACTGAGCCACCCAGATACCCCTGTTTCTCCTTTTATAAATTTAGTAGTCCGTACCTTATTGAAGTTGATGCTTTATTATTTGGTGCATAGATAATTATAATTATTAACATTGATGTTACCATTATAGAGTGGCCTTCATCTCATTTACAGCTTTATGTCTAGGACTCTACCTTGACTTATATTCATTTGTATCCTCTGATATGTTTTGCTTGCCTGTTTAGACCTTTGCCTATGGTTTTATATTGAACTTCTCTGAATCACTTTGTTTTAGGTATTTATTTTAGGATATAGAATAATATTGGGTGTTGCTTTGTGATTCAATCTGAAAATGTTTTCTTTTTAAGTAAATTAAGCTTAGTTGCTTTTACTGACATGTCAGACATACCTGGTCACAGTTACAACATACCATTTTATGTTATGTTGTAACTTTTTTACCATGTGATTATTTTGCTTTTGTTTTGGTTTTGGCTCTCCTGCCCTTAGGAATGTATATATTTTTGTTTTCATGGCTTATTTTTATTCATGTACCTTTTTATCCTACCTGAGTTCTCTCTTTCTTGCTTTGGTTCCCTCAACTAGGAATCAAACAAATTCAACAAGAAAATTAGCTTGTAGTTCAACTGTATTTAAATCTTATTACCATATTTCATTGTGTCTGAGAGACGGAATCTACTGTTAGACACACCATTATTTATGTGCCACTTAGGAAAGAAAGGCTGCCAATTACAGTGCGATACACTATCAACCATAAGGCACATCTTTATCATAGAGATGTTAAAATGTGAAAAGAAAATGTTTTAAAGTCCATGAAACAGTATCTTATTGTTTATTACAATATTCTTAAATATGCTAAAATTTATTCTTATTGGTTATTAACTCTAAATGATAATTCTTTTTTTTAATGTTCATTTATTTTTGAGATAGTGTGACTGAGGGCAGGGCAGACAGAGAGAGAGAATCTCAAGTAGGCTCCACACTCAGTGGGGAGCCTGATGCGGGTCTCTATCTCATGAGATCATGATCTCATGACCTAAGCTGAAATCAAGAGTCAGACATTTAACTGACTGAGCCACCCAGGTGCTCCTACATGAATTCTTTAATTTTGAGCTTTTACATATGAACCACTCGGTCAACTTTTTCTACTTTATACCTTTTCTCTTCCTTTTTCCTTTTTGCACAATTTCTCCAATCATCTCCAATCATCAATCATCAGCTGAAGCTGATCCTCTCATAAGAACCCTCGGGAACACAACATTATTCTGAGTTCTTGCATGTTGAAAACTCTTTGAGCCTTTACACTGGAAGCACAGTTATGCTCCAAGTAAAAATGCTTGGCTCACCTTTTCTTTCCTTGCATGTATTGTTCTTTTGATGTAGGGTGTTGAATATTGTCATGCTAACCTGGTTTTCTTTTTCTTGTAAGTCCAGATTTTACTTGGATGAGTCTCCTATTCATTCGAGTTGATTTCCCACAGGTACACAGTATGTCTTTCAATTTATGTCACCTTTTATTTCAGAAATGAGTTGCTGAATTGTAATTTTGTTTTTAAAAGAATCTCAAACTTACCGAAAAGTAACAAGAACTATACAAACACTTTTTTTTCCCCTTTAAAGTATTTGAAAATAGCAACACAAATGCCCCAGTATCCCTGGTTCCATCAATGTGTATTTCCTGCTTACAAGGACGTTCTCCTTTATAATCCCACCACAACCATCAGAATTAGAAAATTGATTCAGTTAGATGATTATCTTCTAATGCTGAGTCCCCCATTCAAATTTGCCACTTGTCCCAATGATGCTGTTTATATTTAGCAGGATCCAGAGTCCAGGATTAGGCACTATATTTACTTGTCTTTCAATCTCGTTCATTCTGGTATCATTTCTCTGCTTTACATTGACTTTCATGACTATGACACGTTTGAAGAATATAGGCCAGTTATCTTGCAGAACATCCCTCAGTTTTATGTGATATTTTGTCATGTCCTAGATCTTTAGCAGAAATGGTACAGAAGTGATGCTGTGCTCTCTTAACATCTTTTTGGCTGGTGTATAGTTTCAGTTTTTCCCCCTACTGATTAAGGCGATATTTCTGCTAGATTCCTCCACCCTGGCATACTCTTTTTCTTTTTGTAATTAATATGTGTTTTGTGGAGAGGTATGGAAAAGTTCCATTCTTCCTCCGGCTTTTATCGATGTATATGTGTAGATAGTATGAACTCATGGAATCCTTCCTTATTCAGTGGGATATACATTATTATTCATTATGGTGCTTAAATATTTCCAAATTTGGCAGTAGGAGCCCCTCAAACTTGACTCTTGTGTTCTTTTTAACACATCTTCATTATTCTTTCAGCACTTTCACTTTGTGGCTCAACAAGATATTCTAGACTCATGTTGTATCTTCCAGCCCCGGAATTAGCCCTGGTTCCTTTTAGAAGAGAATGGTATTTGGAAACCAAGATCTAGATTTACTTCTAGACTTCTCAGTGGATAGAGCTACAGAAAACACACACACACACACACACACACACACACACACACATCTGTAATTCTAATCCAACACCACAAGCTTCATTTTAACCCTTTCCCTTTTGTAGCTCCCTTATCTCACAGTGAGAAACCTCACTCCAGTGTATGTATAGCTGACACCTGAACAATACGGGGGTCAGGGGGGCCGACCCCACTGCAGTTGAAAATGCATGTGTAACTTTTAACTCTGTAAAAACTTAACAGCTAATAGCCTATCATTGATTAGGCTTACCGATCCCATAAATGGTCGATTAAAGCATATCCTGTATATGTATTATATACTATGTTGTTAGAGTAGAGTAAGCTAGAGAAAACAAAATGTTACTGAGAAAAATCATAAGGCAGAGAAAATACACTTACAGTAAGTACCATACTTTATTTATTGAAAAAAAAAAAAGCCTCACATATAAGTGGAGTTGTGAAGTTCAAACCTGTGTTGTTCAACAACATGGTCCTTGAGCAACACAGGTTTGAACTGTGTGGATCTACTTACACATAGATTTTTTACTGTGCTGTAAACAATCCCTGCATTGTTCAAGGTTCAACTGTATAAAACATGAATGATGATTACAAGAGAAAAATTTATATAATCATGTCAGTAGAGTATACTCACTAAACTCCGTGTGATAATCCCACAGTGACTGTATAGCTGTAGGACCAGAGTATCTGGCTGAGAGCACCAATAAAAGAGGTAGCACATAGGGGCACCCGGGTGGCTCAGACAACTTCAGGTCAGGTCAAGATCTCGTGGTTCATGAGTTTGATCCCCCCGTTGGGCTCTATGCTGACAGCTCTGAATTTTAGCCCCACATCGGGATATGTGCTGACAACTCAGAGCCTGGAGCCTGCTTTGAATTCTGTCTGTCTCTTTCCGTCTCCCCGGCTCTCTCCTTCTTTCTCTCTCTCTCTCTCTCTCTCTCAAAAATAAACATTTTAAAAAAAGAGGTAGCATGTAAAATAGAAACAATTTGTTATAAACAACAGCTAGATTCTGGGAGATACTTTTAGAGTTGGCAACTACTGCTCTAAAAGCAAATTTCAATTCTTAATCAGAACTTTTTTTTTTTTTTGTAAGCACATTTCTAATAAAGCTACCTTTATGAGAAAGTTAAAATCTTACATTCTCATCAAAGCCTTCTCTTCTGGCTTGCTCAGCTAAATCGCCTTTCATCCTAAGAATACAAAATAAAATAAAAATCAGAGACCAGTGACAGTAGAAAGAGAAAATAAAGTACGATCGGCTCTATACTAATGATCTGAATTGCATTTCTGGTCTTCCTGATAACGCTCATTATTTGGAAAATGTGGTCATCAATAAGTTCTCCAGTGTCACATCTCTAGCTATAAAAAAATGTTTATAGTATGTGTTACTGCCAGAGGTCTGGGTTTGGAAAGCATTTGGATACCAAGGTGATTGAATAAGTAAATATAAGTGTATCCTTAAATACTTTGTGTCAAAATGTTTATTTTGATAGCTAAGCGAATGCATTTATTGTAAACTAAAAATTTTTACTCCCTTCTCAGGGGGACTTTATGTTAAAGTCCAGCTTTTTGTTAAAGCTCTTTCTAGGTGGCACAGCACACTTCACATGAATTTTTCATTAGCTTAGCTTGGAGCCTCCTGGCACTCTCAGAATTAGGAGGGCACTACTGGATGATATATTGACAACATATTTAGAATCAGCACTTTGGATGGTGGCTGTTTTACAGTAAGAACCTTACTCTTACTGTGAGTTTCTCATAAAATATACAGTTTTAAATGGCAAATTAAAATTTTAAGCCATCTTACCCTTTATTGTCTTCATCCTTTTGAGGTTTCTTTAGTCTAAGTTTTTCAAGAGCATTGTTGTAACTCTGGACATAATTAAAAATAGTTTAAAAGTTCACCAAAAATACATCCTGTATTAATTTTGATCAAGGTAAAAGAAATAGGGAATACTTGTCACGAGGGACTACTCCCCAAAGAAATATGGAGAGGGGCACCTGGGTGGCTCAGTTGGTTAAGTGTCTGTCTCTTGATTTTGGCTCAGGTCATAATCTCATGGTTGGTAAGCTGGAAACCCCTTGTCAGGCTCTGCACTGACAGCACAGAACCTGCTTGGGATTCTCTGTCTCCTTCTCTCTCTGTCCCTCCCCTGCTCACATGTGCATACTCTTATCTCTCTCAAAATAAATAAACTTTAAAAGAAGAAAGAAATATGGAGGCAATGCTATGATTTCTTTCACTTTGTCACCACTTATGTTTTCTGCCTACTGGTGAAAAAGAGGGGTTCTCTTGTGGGCATGACACTTGAATTTGAAAAAAAAAATCTTTAAAAACTTTTATGAACATTTATTGCATTCAAGGATGTCAACACTGTAATGCGCATAACCAACATCATAGTCAAGAGATAAAAGATGAAAAAAACCTACAATTAAGCTCACTCGGGGACATATGAATGGTTTCCTTTTACAGGTATGTTTTTGGACTGAGTTTTGGAACTCCATTAACCTCACGGCCATTAGGACTTTTTCCGTGTGAAGTGAATGTGGCTAGAGCCATGGATGTGCAGGGATGGTCAAGATTGTACACCTATGACTGCTAACCACGCAAGTGAGGTGGGTGTTGAGAGGACAGGGGCAGTGCCATGTCAGGGAGAACAGCATGTCGGCGAGGGAATGGAGAGAACATTGCTGGGCTCCGCAGGTGCCCTGAGCAGAGGCCCAGCAGGAAGAGCCAGTGATGGTAAACAGCACTGTGTAGGGTGCCTGGGTGGCTCACTCAGTTAAGTGTCCTACTTCTGCTCAGGTCATGATTTCAGGGTTCGTGAGTTTGAGCCTCGTATCTGGGCCTTGTGCTGACAGCATGGAGGCTGGAGCCTGCTTCAGATTCTATGTCTCCCTCTCTGTCTGCCCTACCCCTGCTTGTGCTCTGGCTCCCTGTCTCTCAAAAATGAATAAACGTTAAAAAAAAATTAAACAGGGGCGCCTGGGTGGCTTAGTCGGTTAAGCGTCTGACTTTCGCTTGGGTCATGATCTCACGGTTCGTGGGTTCGAGCCCCGCATCGGGCTCTGTGCTGACTGCCAGCTCAGTCTGCCTGTTTCAGTCTGTGACTCCCTCTCTCTCTGACCCTCCCCTGCTCACGCTGTCTCTCTCTCCCTCTCCTAGAAATAAATAAAACATTAAAAAAAAAAATTAAACAGTACTGTGGTCAAGACTAGCTGGGACACAGTGCTAAGTGGAGGCATGGAAGGTAGAACTCCTACAGTTCACTGACAGCAAATAAAGAGAGCTTGGGACTGGGAGCCTTGAAGGTCCTTGGGTGTGTGGGTAAGAATTTGGACTTATTTGACAGGTCCATAGAGACTGAAGAATTTTGAGTAGAGAAGTGATATCAGAGCTGGTCTGTCACAAGAGAGGGGCCAGCCGTCGTTGCTATAGATGTTCCTACACAGTAGGCTGGGTGAAAAGTACTGAGGGCCCCACTCCAGTGGTGGCAGTTAAAATTCAACATGGCCTTGGATTTCACAAATGTGAACAAAAACTGCAGAGATGAACTTAACACACAGGCCATGGTAACCAACAATTTAAGGCACAGGGTGTAAAAAATGCAAGATTTTTAAGCCTGGAGCAACTGAGAAAAGGGTGTTGCCCTTAACAGAAACAGGAAAATGAGAAAGATAAGGCACGTGGAATTTTGAGTTTAGGTTGTTTATAGAAATTTACTAGCATCTAAATTGAAGTTTTTGGAGGGAAGAGAGTTTTATTATAAAACCCAACATAGCTTTGCATATAGTAAACAGCTCAGTTGCTATTTGCTATACTGAAATCTGAAATAATTTTGGACACCTTTTTAAAGCTAGAAAGAAATCTCACTTCCCTGACAGTCAAATAATATGAATATGAGCACGACTGGACCAAAACAGAAAACAGAACCACACCCCCCCTCCCCCCCAAAAAAACTCACCACTATTTGGAGTTTCAATGTTATGAAAAGTACAGGAGTATAAACTGAACAAGATTTGTCTTCGAATTCTAATTAGGAAAAGAAGTGGACATACCTTTTTAATCATTTTACCAAGTTCAAAATCTGGCCTTCTGCCTACTGAATAATCAGCTTTCACTTCAGAATAGGTATCATTAATAATTGCCAAGAACATGTTCTGGGAAGAAATATTCACAAAAATAATTATTTCAATAAAGATTTAATGTAAATGTTAGTGACTCTGATGACTGCTGGGGTTTGTAAAATTAGTTTTTAAAATTTTAAAGTAGCTCATGTGTTCAGTAATAGAGAAATGCCTCCAGAATATAACACAGTAGAATGGGAAACGCATAGTGTATGGATACAGGCAAATATGTTTATGGTAAATGAGAAAAACAATGTAAAATAATGCATGTGAACTGGGTACTAATGCACATATAATATATATATATATATTAACTGATCAACATTGAATAACAGAACATAGAATAATATAATTATATGCTCATAAGAATGTTTTCTTTTTAATTCCATAAAGCTGTTTAAATGCACAGCCTTATTACTAAGACTCTTCTGGATACTATGTCCAGATAGTACAAACAGTTGTGGAGAGGGTATTCTTACCCCCAGCCCACCTCTCTGCCTTTCACTGAGGACCAACTCTGTCACTGAGGACTTTTGGCCACCACCAGCGGAAAACTGCTGTGCTTGACAAAAATGTTGTCAAGGAGGACAGAAAAGCAAATTTCCTTGATTAGGAAGGTCAAATAAATTTGTCTTGAGCAGATGTGAAAGACACCATCCTGAGGACTCCTAAAAATCATAAAGGAATGAGCTTTTAGCCTTAAGGGCCAGAAGCCATTTGCAATATGGGCAGAATATATCCATCCCTTCTGGTATGAAATGTCCCAGGTTAGAGGGACCCAGGATATCCATGTTATAGGTGTAGAAGATTTAGCACAGTCCTGGCACACACCTGACACCAAGATGATAACTATTATGATCATATTCTCCTTTGGACAACTTGGAAACATTCAGACACTGGATTTATAGCCTACGTTACTAGGAATCCACACAATTCCTAATCAATGTAAAAAAAACTCTTAACAGCTAAGCAGTTATACTATAATTTCTTCTAAATTAATAATTTCACTTTTTATTCTAAAAAATATAAGTGAAAAAAGGGACAAATTTGGTCGTACTTACCAGCAGGACAAAGAACACAAAAAAGATGAAAGTGATGAAGTAAATGGGTCCCAAGATACGATTGGCTTGCTGAATACCAGCAAAATTAAAATCTCCAAGAACAATTCGAAATTGTGCAAATCTTTGATGGGAAGAAAGGAAAACATTATATCCCTTCATAAATACATCACAATTGAAGGAGGTTACCCATGTGTCCAGGAAAGTATCTAGCTGCATACCACATAGGTTCTCTGGCTCTAGTTTACATTAACATAGAGCTCTATAAAACTAAGTATGGAATGTTCCCTTGATGGCAAGACAAAGTATTTCAATAGCTGAGCAGTGATTCAGGAAACGATGGGCTTCCACTTACTGAATGTTCACCTACAAGATTGGAACCATGAGATACTTGCTTACCAACTGGTCTTGACAATGGCCTTGTTAGCCTGTCCTGTGCCCTTCAAAAATGACAATACCTGACCTTGTCCAGTAAGTGATTTTCAACTTGTACCGAGACCTAAGAATGCTAAAATTTCTAATATCAACAGTATGTTTAATTTGTATGCTGCTTCTGCTAAAATAAGATGCCAACAATTTGTCACTTGCTGAGCTTCAAATACTCATGATAATCGTCCTCAAACATCACCTTGAGGTTTATTTTCTTCAATAACTACAAATCTTGGATTTGATGTAAGATAATGTCTAAAATATTACAGATCTTCATTTTATTAATTTTAAAGGTGGAAAATTAAGGCTTTGAGGACAGTAGTAGCAGAGGTAGAATTAGGATTACTCAACCTGATGTCATATTTTCTCATCATTGATTTGCAATGGCATTGCCAGACACACAGGTATACATATATAAGTCATGCAGATGAATTCTTTATTTTTTTAAAGTTGAGAATTGTTTAATTTCATCCGTACTCATACCTTAAACAATTTAAAAAGTATTTGAATCTTTCTTTACAAACTAAAATTGTTCTCTTGGAAATAATGACCTTTCTAGCTATAATACAAACATGAAGCAATCTTCAGAAGCAAGTTAGAATTTTTCATAAATGGTGATAAAGGTAGTTAAGGGTTGTTGCCTGGGTTCTTCATTATACTAGTCAATTAAATTTCAGCATTACTTTAATTAATTAATGTTAATAGAGTCCATCTGTCTCAGAATATCTATGATATCAGATTTAACCTAAATTCCAAAGTAGGTCAGTAGGTCAGTAGGTTATTAGGTTAGAAAAAGATTTATTGTAGTTTCCATTTCCTAAACTCAGGTTCCTGAGTTGATCATTTTAAATTAATAAAAGATTATTAATAATTAGATGAAATTAAATTTTTTTCTTTGAATTATGTAAACAGTATATAGGAAAATGGTCTTTGTTATTCCTGTTTTGTAACAGTAACTTGTTATTTGATTACTCATATTTTGTTTTCTGGAATGGATAACATGTATTTTATGTTTCTTATATAAAGTCAGGGCTCTAACCTTGGATAGTTAGAGGAAAAAGAAAAAGGCAATGCTCCAATTTTTCTGATTATAATAATAATGCATGTTCATGGGAGAAATTTTAGACAGTACTAAAGAAAAAGTTTTTAAAATTAATAAGTTGGTTAGGAATGACAGTTGATACTTTTGGCTTATTTGGATTTAAGGTTGATGTATTTTGATGCCACTGTTACTGTTCGTGGGTGCTTAAGTGAGTTATTTATTTAAGGGGAAGACTGCATGGAATTTTTAATAGTATGTAGGTACTTTGCATGATTGGTTAGTCAGTTAAAAGGAAGAAGTCTTCCTGTTCTTGGTTATTGCTACTGAACATGTAAAGGGAGCATATAGTTATATACAATGAAGGAAGAAAATGTATTCAAAGAAATGGGTTATTTGGACTCCCAGGACTCAAGAGTTACCTGGAATTTCATCCCCAGTACTTAAGACATGATTAAATCATACTTAAAGTAGTTTTTAAGCATTTAATACTGGTTTGTAATGCTCTTGTACACAAAATAGAACAAGAAAAGCTGAATTGGAAGGAGGCCAAAGTTCTGTTTTAGTGTTTCAAACTTGATCTTTTTATCCTTGAGTTGGATTTATAGGAGAAAAGATAAGCTAAGGGCACCATTTCTTCTCTCCAGAAATTACCTCATTAACTAAAGCTTCCATTCACCCTTCTCTCTCAGGAAAGTGACAGAATGCTCTGTACATACAGAGTCCCTGTGCCTTATAAATAATGTGAACAACAAAACTCAAACCAAATTGCTGAATGGACATGATCCCACAGGAACTGGAGACTTCAAACACAATGTAATTGTCATTTCCCCCCCTTAATTGGAGTTTAGTTTACCTCCTCCTTTCCTCCCAAGCTGAAAGGAACACCATGACTGCTTAGTATACAGGGTTGTGTTGAATGAAACTACTGTTTTGTAGCTTCATGATACCCCTGGTAACTTTCTAGAGTTGTCTCTTATAAATTAAAATAGCTAACAGACTGTTCTATAATAAGATAACATTGTGGTTAATATGACTTCCCAGTCTCTCACATGGAGACATGATTGGGTATTTAGCAATTCCTCAGCATTCTCCAAATATTGCCTCTAGTCGGTCGTCTGTCTTTTGTAACTCAGGTTAAACATATTGGGTCTTCTCATTCTAGCCTTCATATCTCATACCTTCTCCGCCCACTTTTTGTATCTCTGGGCCTCATTTTCAATAATTTTTTGCTGGCCTATTTTTCACTTTACTCTTCCTCTCTTCATCTTTTATTTGCTCTCAAACTTGTCAACTAGGTTTTAATCTCAGTTACTGTAATTTACAGTTCTAGAATTCTATTTTTGATACTCTTTCAAATATGTACTTTTTATGCTGTACTGTTCTCTAAAGTTATTTTCTGGCTTGTGTTTTATTTCTCTAAATATAGTAAGTATTGCGTGATTATTCCAGTATCTGAAGTGTATTGTATGATGTATCTGCTGGCTTTTGCTTTTTCCCCCATCTGTACCAGGTTACTTTTCACTACAGGCAGTAAGTTATGTTTGAAAAATTGCTTATAGAAGTAATTTGAGGCTTAGGATGAGTATACCTTTCTCCAGAGTGGTTTTTTGTTTGTAGGTGCACATGCACACAGGCATTCTAGCCCAGGGCCATCTTAATCCAAGTTCAAGACATGAAGTTCCCTGAATACCTAGGTGATCATGACAGACTGATTTACCTTTAACATGAGGCTTGAGAAGTTACCAGACAATCCCTACTCACCAATCCTGCCCTGTCACTCTCCTACAAGCCCTGGACTTTGCCCTCAGTCTCCTTCTCCCTGAGAGTTGACTAGAAACACAGTTCCTTAACTATTTCTTCTGGATCATCAAAAATGCCTTGATGGTGTAGGGTTTGGGGAAGGTGATGGAGTAACAAGTACTAGGAATATGTCTCCCCACCTAGACAACAATCACATAGGCAGAATATGTCTGATGTAACTATTTTAGAGCTCTGGAGTCTATTTAAGGCTTGCAACTTCCGGGGGAAGTCTTAGCCAACTTTGGTCAGTTGCAGCTTTTAGTTTGTCAGAAGCTAGCCCATCTCCCACACCACCCCCCACTCCCCAGCCCATGGCAGGTAGCCATGCTTTTCTGGAAGAGCTTGTATGCAACCTGTGGGAGCCAGGGTAGACAATCAGGACCCTGTTCTCCAAACATCAGGACTCTGTGTTTGGATTGCTGATTGTTCCTTCTGATCACAGGGGTGCAGGCAGAGATGGGCAAGTTCCCCTGTCTGTCTCAAGTCCTCAAGCCTCTTGCTGAAGCCATATCCTTGGGATTGTAGGGCTGGCACCCTCTCTTTCCCCTTCATTTCCTTCTTTTTCCCCTTTTGGGAGCCAGGCATTAAAGACATTCAAAAGTAACTGCATATACAGAGGAAATTATAAAGTCACCATGCATGCCCATGGAAAGGTACAGGCTCAGAAAAGGCCAGAGAAGACCTTTACACCTCAGGCTGGTTCTCAACACAGAGACAGTATACAATAAACAACAGCAACAACAAACCCAAAACAGGGAACCCATTTCCAGGGTTATCACATTATTTCATTCATATATTTATTTTCAACAAAAACAAGAAAAGGCAGGACATAAAAGAAGCAGGGAAGTGTGACCCAATCAAAGGAAGAAAATTCACCAACAGAAACTATTCCTGAGAAAGACCAAGTGGCAAACCTACTAGACAAAGACTTTAAAACAACTATCTTAACAATGCTCAGAGAACTAAAAGAAATGGAGAAAGTTAAGAAAATTATTTATCTCTATAAAGAGACAGAAAACCTCAAAGAAACCAGGAAGAAATCATAGAGCTGAAAAATACAATAATTGAAAGTTCACTGGAGGAATTAAGAGGCAGATTTGAGCAGGCAGAAGAAAAAACAATCAGTGAGCCTGATAATAAGATGGTTGAAACGACAAGTCTGAGGAATAGAAAGACAAAGGATTGAATAAAAGTGAACAGAGCTGACACCATCAAGACACCAACATAAAAACATGAAAGGATGCACTATATCACTAACCATTAGGGAAATGCAAAGCACAACCACAATGAGAGATTAGTTCACACCCATTAGGATGGCTACCATTAAAAAAGAAAAAGAAAAAGAAAAAAGCAGTCGAGAAAATAACAAGTGTTAATGAGGATGTGGGAAAACTGAAACCCTTGTGCACTGTTGGTGGGAATGTAAATGGTGCAGCCACTGTAGAAAGCAGCATGGCATTTCCTCACAAAAATTCAGAATAGATTCACCATATGATCTAGCAATTCCACCTCTGTTGTATATGAAAAAGAATTGAAAGCAGTCTTGATGAGATATTTATACACCTGTGTTCATAGCGGGATGACTCACATCATCTAAGACTTAGAAGAAGTCAAGATCCATCAAGAGATTAGTGGATAATCAAATGTGGTTTAGGGGTGCCTGAGTGGCTCAGTCTCTTAACTGTCTGACTTTGGGTTGGGTCATGGTCTCGTGGTTCATGAGTTTGAGCCCCGTAGTGGGCTCTGTGCTGACAGCTAGGGGCCTGGGGCCTGCTTGGAATTTTGTGTCCTCCTCTAATTCTGCCTCTCCCCTGCTCATCTTCTGTCTTTGTCTCAAAAACAAATAAACAGTAATTTTTTTTTGAAAAATGTGTTTTATACATAGAATGGAATATTAGTCTTAAAAAGGGAGGAAATTCTGACATACTGCACAACATTGATGAGTCTTGAAGACATACTAAGTGAAATCTGTCACAAAAGACAAATACTGTGTGATCCACCAAGTACCTACAGTTATCAAAATCATAGAGACAAAAAGTAGAATGGTGGTTGCCAAGGGCTGGAGGAGAGAAGAAGTGGAGAATTCTTGATTAATGAACATAGTTTCGGTTTTAAAAGATGAAAAGAGTTCTGAAGATGGATGGTGCTGATAGTTGCACAATATGAATATATTTAATCTCATTGAACTGTATACTTAGAAATGGTTAAGATGGTAAATTTTATGTATGTATTACCACACACACACACGCACACACACAAATCCTTATCAGCTTAACAGAACCGCCTTCAGGGCGAAAGAAGCTTTGGATGCTGCGCTTACTTCCCTGGGTTCTTGGCTTTTGATTTTGGTCCACTTATTACTCACTTTTCAGTTAGTTCTTCAATGCTATCTGTATGTCATCTAGCTTTTTAAATTGTCCTGAAGAGGAGGTTGATCTCAGTAACCTAGCACTTCAGTAACAAAAGCAGAAGTGTCTTCATTAATGCATTCTAAAGTTGTCTACCTCTTTATGCTTTGTGCCTTATACTTCTTTTCTTTCCCACTAAGGTAAGACCAATTTCCAAATTCTGTAAATTACATTATAATTGATGTCCAGTACTACTAAGTTTTATTATTAAGTAACACTTGAATTAAGATCCTAGGAAAGGACCAAGAAGTTGTTGGAAGTGCAAACCTAATTCACTCAAGAGAGAGCTAACCAGACTTCTCAAATTATAGGCTATTTGACATTGGGAGGGATCATTGGGAGTAACAATCCAGTTCCTTTATTTGCAGATAAAGAAATAAAGGTCGAGAAAAGTTGAATAGCTAAGTAGCAGAATCGGACAGTAGGATTATATCCTCTTGATTCCTAGTTCATTCTTCTTTCCACTACTGATTAATGAAATTTCAGACAGTTACCACTTCAAATATTTCCATGTGGATGGTAAAAAGAAAGCAATCTTGTTCATTTCTTTAGATCAAAGTTTCCCCCAAATCAAGTAAAAGGGCATGGAAAAATAAGTTTGGAGAATTCTTAACTAAAGTTAAGAAAGTTATTACAGTTTTTCTTAGAGCCATCTGTTAATATTCACTATAAATTTCCAAAAAAGTGATGCAAAATTTCCCAAACTTAGTTAAATATGAAGCCATTTCCTCCCAATAATCAAAAATTATATTTTGAGAATTGATATTTTAGACTATTATAATTTTCTTACGCACACAAAACTTGTTTTACATACCCAGAAAGGAGAGTAATTGTATTTAAATTGTTCTTAACTTTAAAAAAAAAAGTCTGAAAACTTTGCTAAGGATTCTACTTGATCAGTTCTATAAGTTTGTTCCCTGCTAATTGCTTTATTTGTATAAAAATATTTTTAAAACACAGCTTTGTCAGATCGGCAAAGGATAATCAGGTCAACATCAATAAAAGGATTCTAAAGATGGACCCCTTAAAGGAAAACATTTAAGCTTTCTTTTCCCCAGAGAATAAATTATTACAGAGACACACAGGCCAATTTCTGTTACATTTGGTAAAATTTTCACTCCCAATGAAAAATGAAAAAGTATCTTTCTAATGTGACCTTGTAACATTTAAAAAATGGACTGCACCATTCATTTGGGTCTTCTGATGCTAAACACTACCTTGAGTGTGACAGGTATTTTGCCATCAATGAAAATATAAAACCAAGTTTAAATTTATTAAAATGTATGTTACTACTTATCATAGGCCTTTCCATGATTTTTTTTCTTATAAACGAGTAAATATAATTACATTTATGCTAACAGCTTACATGGCATTTTGAAAAGTGGAAAAGTCGTCAACTTGTGATCCAAAAACAAGAAATCCTAACTGAGCATAAGCAAAGAATATTATAAAAAACATGATGGCAAATCCTACTATGTCTTTGAGACAGCGGGACAAGGTTGATGACAGCTGAGACATTGTCTTATTAAAGCTTATGAATTTGAATATCTGAAAAAGAACAAAGTTAATTGAAATAGAAGACTATTCAACATTACAATTACTTAGAGTAAGTTAAATTAATTTCAGGAAAAAAACTGATTCAAACTAAAGAAAGTACTTAATGATAGGAGTGCTTGAGGATTAGCCACAATCATTCCAAGGCCAAACTACTTTTAAAACTACTTTATAGTTAAGAAAATCCTTTTGTTTTTTCATAACTTTGTAGCTTCAGTTCCCATTTTGCTAATATAATAAAAGATCTATCTAATCTGCTGTACTTAATATAATAAAATATAAATACCTTTATCCATGCAAAAAAGATGGTAATAGCAATTACATTGTTGTAATAAATGTACCAGTATGCAAGAAAATAGAAGTCTGAATATTTTTCAGTATTTTGTAACAGTTCTCCAAGTAAGAGAAAAATTTGTATATTACAGTATATGTTGAAGGAAACAGCCACAAAACACAACTAAAGGGAAAATAAGAAAGGTTAATTTAGGGATGGTTTCTACCTCTATATCTCTTGCAGCCTATGAGCAAAGGAACAAGTTCATCAAAAATTTAATAAACTGGAGAAATAAGACATAGGCTTTTACATGAATGAAAGTAAACCTCAACTTATAGAAGTTTGAAATTGCATAATGATCACAAAAGTAGAAAAATACTAATCACCTGACCATTCTAAACTATCTGCCTGTTTCTTTGAGTTATAAGGCACAAATGTATAAAATGATTATATAATTCTGACTAGGCTGCGTTTTTGCTCCATGTAACTATGTGATACCAAGAAATTTATTTTTATTTATTTACTTAGTGTTTATTATTCCAGTATAGTTAACATATAGTGTTATGTTAGTTTCAGGTGTACAATTATAGTAGCTCAACACTTCCATACACATGATATGTAAAAGTTTAGTATTTTCTACCACATAATACTAAAACAAATATTTTACAGTAACACAAAAATAAGCCTTTTGATAGCTCTGTGACAACTCTTCTAGAAGAGAGTTCAGAACCAGATTATCTCAAGTATCACCGTTTTAGAACTGTCATGAAAATCTTCATTTGACCCTTTGCCCGAATTCTCAGAGAGTTAAAACATTCAATGTCATGCTGTACATTAAATTTTATCGGGGATAGCAGAGAAGTAGGTGGCTCATTTTCTGACTCTGAGACATTGGTAATCTGGTTTTGGGAAACAAGACTTATCTCCTGGATTGGCCATAACTAGGGGTCAATAAAGGTGAAAGATCACATTGTGTAAGCCAGAAATATTTGTTACGTGTTCCTAAGACCAAGTGCTTACCATTTGTCCCGCCCTGCCTACGGCTCTATGTTTATTTTAATATGTTCCAGTGATAAGAACTGACTGTTTTTGGAATTTCTTTCAGAGGCTAGCTCCCCTGTCCTGGTGTTCTCTGTGCTCACAGCTACTCTCTGGCTGCTCACTTCCTCCCCACCTCCCCCCTTACAAGATCTGCCTAGGCTTGATTTTGCATATTCTTTCAAAATTCAGCATGAGGAGGAAAGCATATTGAGGCAATATAGAAGAGTACATTTCCAAAAATAACCATGATTTTCAACATGAGGCCATATAAGAAACACATTTTTGAGTGGGGTGAGGGAGACCTATTGTGCATATGAAATCATAATACCTGTAGAATCACCTATTCTTCTAAGTTTATGCTGGTCCTAAATCAGGAAAAAAAGAGACTTCATCTTTTTGGTGGCACACCATAAGTATGCACTATGATAGGTCCTGTTATGATTGATACTTGAAGCTTTTAAAGGAAGTCCCAGATGAATAGAAAACTTCTTTCCTTGGTACATTCAGATGTGATTCCCTTGAATGATACATGTGAATATATACTTACCACCAAAAGTAGTAATTCTAGCCAGTTCCAAACACTTTTGAAATAGGCAGACTTAAATTCTCTTATTTTTTGGGCTTCTTGTGTTGTGAAAACAATAAGAAAAATACAAAATGTGATTTCACAGGAAGCAATAATATAATCATAGTAGCTAACATATCTGAGGAGCTTCACAGAGTAAAACTGCCATGAAGTAATGATTCCTCCAGTTGCAGGGAATTCTGCCACCAATCTGTAAAATTAGGTTAGTGGAAGTCACTGTCCATTTATTTCAAGCATTTGTATTTCAGAACCTAACTCAATGCGAAGTTTCTAATCAGTGATGATGTGTACTTTAATAATCAGTTATTTTGTACAAAATATGTTTTCTTGGGCTCGTGTGTTCAACTTAAATTCTAGTGGATTTGCTTATTTTTAAAAAATATTTATTTTTGAGAGAGAGAATGTGTGAGCAGGGGAGGGGAAGAGAGGGGGGTACATAGGATCCAAAGTGGGCTCTGTGCTGACAGCAGACAGCAGACAGCCTGAGGTGGGGCTTGAGTTCACAAGCCAGAAGATCATGACCTGAGCTGAAGTCAGACACTTAACCAACTGAGCCACCCAGGTGCCCGGGATTTACTTCTTTTTTAATAGTTCCACTTTTTTGTACTCAATATTCATAGCGGTCAAAGACCAACGTGGTGGAGAAAGTAAGATCTGATTTCAGGCAGATGTTCTTTTATTTTGTGCTTAGATTGTTTGGTTATAACTGGGAATACTATTTTATCTCCACAGGACAATGAGATGATGTTCAAGAAAATGGTATATGGCTAGTTACTGTTATTAGTCAGGACTCCCCCCCAAATGCATAATTCTTGAATATTTCACAGAAGGAAAATACACTCTCCCCCTTTAGATTAGCAGAGACACATCTTCTAAATGTCAAGATTATATATTTTCCTTAAAACAAACGTTTTCTGTTTGCTTTAGGCCCAGGATGTTGGATACAGGGATCTATATGCAAATAGAAGTATAAAAATTAATTCCTACACTAAATAAAAAGATTTTGAGCCTTTTCATGTATTTCTAGTGTTCTCTACAACTTCAGATAGTTAAGAATTGGCAGTAATTTAAGGAACCAGTATCTCTATCACGATGTACTTAGTCCTACTTAGGGATTATTAGCAAATATTATTCATACTGGAATAAGGTGCTGCCAAAGCTGTTTCACCTTGCACATAGCAGGGGCGCAGCATTGAATAAGTGAGTTAAGTGAAAGAAACCCAATATTTTGATCTGAAGTGTACATTAATAAGGTAAAAAAAGGAACTGTATTGTTTCATTTGCCAGATACATTTACAAAAAAGAAAGTAAATGAATGAGATCCTGACTTAAGTAATGTGCTCCCATATAACTAGAACCATCTGCTGGTTTCTAATTTGGGGCGCCTGGGTGGCTTAGTCGGTTAAGCGTCCTACTTTCGCTTAGGTCATGATCTCGCGGTTCGTGAGTTCGAGCCCCGCGTCGGGCTCTGTGCTGACTGCCAGCTCAGAGCCTGGAGCCTATCTCAGAGTCTGTATCTCCCTCTCTCTCTGACCCTCCCCTGCTCACGCTGTCTCTCTCTCTCCTAGAAATAAATAAAAATATTAAAAAAATAAAAAGTAACATTTTATTTTTAATGTTTATATATTTTGGAGAGAGAGCAGAGCTGGCGAGGGGCAGAGAGAGAGAGAGAGAGAGACAAACAGAAGATCCAAAGCCGGCTCTGTGCTGACAGCAGAGAGCCCTATGTGGGGCTCAAACTCACAAACCATGAGATCATGACCTGAGCGGAAGTCTGATGCTTAACCAACTGGGCCAACCAGGCGCAGCTAAAAATTAACATGTTAAAAGGTAATACAGAATAAGCATAAAACCCAGAGACTGGAAATCTGGACTTAGTTTAGTGTAACAAGGAGTTCTTTGTATGATTTTAGGCTAGTTATTCCAATGTCTCTCCACTTATTTAAGGCATACAAATGATTTGTCCTCTTTATCCTGATCAGGACCATTGGAAAGAATGATTAATGCTGGTAAAAGCTCTGATTTTCTGAAAAAAGAAAAAAAACTATAAAATAAGTGTGTAATATCCATTGCTACTTAAGAGAATTCATTTATTTTATTCATTTTTACAGGGTTTATTCTAATTTATTTTTAAATTATTTTTTAAAGTTTATTTTTATTTCTGAGAGAGAGAGAGAGACAGAGAGCAAGAGAGAGAGGGGGCGGGAGGGGCAGAGAGAGAGGGAGAGAGAATCCTAAGCGGGCTTTGCACTATCAGCCTGAACTCAAGGTGCTATCAGTGCAGAACCTGATGCAGGATCCAATCTCACGAACCATGAAATCATGACCTGAGCTGAGATCAAGAGTCAGAGGCTTAACCAACTGAGCTACTCAGGCACCCCCATTTACAGATTTTAAAGGGCCATGGCTGTGTTTAATTGTTGCTGTTGCACAAGGGCAAAATCCTGTGATCAGACACCAACTCCATATTTCATTCAGAGTAAAAATATAAGACTCATGAGAGAAAAGTGGCTCACTGAGATTTTAGTGGACACTACTATTTGCTTGTCTAGCAGTCATTATCCCACTCCTCCTTCCTACAGAACCCCAACCATATCAGGCATCCACCATTCCCAGATCACTCAGAAAGCGGATTCAATCCCCAGGCAGATCCAATCAGGGTAATCCTATTTCCTTTGCCAGTGTTTGGTTCTAGAACACAGGCCTAAAGCCAATTAGCATGGTCCAGGTTAGGCAAATGACATAAGGTCATCAGACTAATGGAGAGAATTTTTTCTCTTTGGATAGTTTTGTCCCTTGCCACTACCTCTTCCTTCTCTTTCTCCTCCTCCTCTTCCTCCTGTGGGAATGTCTCTCATCATCCTCCTGGGTCTAAGTTAGCCCACGCGTATATGTCCTTATCATGCAACGGCAGAAATGCAAGAGAGCAAGTTTTAATGTGCAAACTTATTTCAAACTTCTGCTTGTATCCTAGCTGCTCCCATTCCATTGTCCAAACCAAGTCACAAGGCTGAGTCCAGTGTTAGGCGCCAGGGAAGGTGCATCCTGCCCTGTGTGACAGGGCGCTGCTAGGTTACATGGCAAAGATGTGAAAAACTGGGGCCATTTTTGCAAGTCAACACAGGCTCTAATAATTTCTAGGACACTAGCTACTGGTATATATTGTCTGAAATTTAAATTCTTCATTCTTAAGACAAAAATCAATAACTTAATAAAGAAGCTCATTCTGAAAGGAAATCAACAGATCTGAATGATCTGATTTAGAGGAAGAAATCAAGACTAAATGTTAGATCTGTGCAACTGTAGAATGACAAGAAATTAGACTGTATCCTTAATATAAAACTGACATATTGTATGTCATTCTCCATGTTCTTGAATATCTTCCAAAACAATGAAACAATGAATCTGATGTTGTTTTAGCATATTTTTCATTATTGGCATACTATATTTATTTTGAAGCCTATGATTTTAATCTCAGTACAAACACATACAAACTGGAAACCCTAACAAGGGCTCTGGATGCTTTTTGTTTTATTAATTAAAAAATTTATTTCATATTTAAAACATTTTTTTAACTTTTTTTATTTTTGAGAGACAGAGAGACACACACACAGAGTGCGAGTGGAGGAGGGACAGAGAAAGAGAGGGAGACACAGAATCTGAAGCAGGCTCCAGGCCCTGAGCTGTCAGCACAGAGCCTGATGTGGGCCCCGAACTCAAAAACCATGAGATCATGACCTGAGCAAAAGTCGACGCTTAACTGACTGAGCCAGTTTTAAGTGGGCTCCATGCCCACTATAGGGCCTGAACTCAATACCCTGAGATCAAGAATCTCATACGTCACTGCCTGAGCCAGCCAGGGGCCCCTCTGGAGGCTTTTAAAATTCAATATACTAATAAAGAGATTTTGAGTCACTTACCTGATGATGCAAAACAGATTAACATTAGCATTGTATAACGAAAAATCAATGAAAATAACTCTAGTCCCTCTTGTGATCCAGCTGTTGAGTCGAAGGTTAATAAATTTGTTTTTTGTTTCAGATTTTGATTTTGATAAAGTGAAAATAAATCCCCCATTTTGGTAAACACCAACAAATCCCCAGTGCCAAGGGGAGCTAGTATTAGGAGTAGAATACTTCCATCTGTTAGGTATAAAAAGAAATGGAGAGATGAGAAAGCCTGACTGAGATATATTCTAAGAATTTAAGTTAACCTTTAAAAAAAAGGCAGTATTAAGTTGGTAAGTATTATAGTAATTTCGAAGCAAGACAATGAGTTAAGGGTTAAGATTTAATATATTTTTAAAAGTTTACTTATTTTGAAAGAGTGGGGGAGGGACAGAGAGAATCTCAAGTAGGCTCTTGTGCTGCCAGTGCAGAGCCTGAAACTGGGCTCAAACCCACAAATGGTGAAATCATGACCTGACTTGAAGTCGGATGTTTAATCTACTGAGCCACTCGGGTGCCCCAAGATTTAATACGTTTTCATTTTTTAGTGCGTTTTGTGGGCAACACACTGGACCAGATCCTATGAGAAAAGGTTTTTTTTTTAAAAATCCATCTGTTGCCTCAGGGAACTTAAAATCTAGAATACAGTGGCTGTATTCTTTTTTTTTTTTTTTTTAATTTTTTAAATGTTTTTTATTTATTTCTAGGAGAGAGAGAGAGACAGCGTGAGCAGGGGAGGGTCAGAGAGAGAGGGAGTCACAGACTCTGAAACAGGCTCCAGGCTCTGAGCTGGCTGTCAGCACAGAGCCCAATGTGGGGCTTGAACCCCTGAACTGTGAGATCATGACCTGAGCCGAAGGCGGACTCTCAACCGACTGAGCCACCCAGGCGCCCCAGGTCATATACCTTTATAAAAGTCAATCAAGAAGGGCTTTGTTACAATGTCTATATTGTTATAACGAAAGTTCATAAACCAGAGTAAAACGTGGATACCTAAATTGTTTCCATCCTTCCTTTTTTTCTTTTAATGTTTTATTTATTTCTGAGAGAGAGAGAGAGAGACAGCGTGAGCAGGAGAGGGTCAGAGAGAGAGGCAGATACAGAATCTGAAGCAGGCTCCAGGCTCTGAGCTAGCTGTCAGCACAGAGCCTGATGCGGGGCTCGAACCCACCAACCGTGAGATCATGACCTGAGCCAAAGTCAGATGCTTAACCAACTGAGCCACGCAGGCACCCCCATCCTTCCTACTTTTAACTTAATTATGAGATATCAAAAAGTAAAGTCTTGACTCCTCATTTCAGTCCCTGTTCAGTCTCTGCAAACAGAGTTGAATGATTATTTGAAGATGCACTGCTTAACTCGTGTTCTATTAATAATACTGTGCTTATTTTCAGGAGGAGGGAAAAGAGATAATACTAAGAAAAAAACATACCAACCTTCTCCTACTTCCAATTTTTTATGATGTTTTAAATTAGTGAATGTTACATTTTAGATGGACAGCCACAAATTGATTCTTAATTTGGTTGTTAGGGAATGATAAGTATTATGAACCCAAATCTGTAGTGTTAATTTTGGTATTTAAATTATTTGCAGTTGTTATGAGAATTTGGAATATTAGAATACCTAACAGATTAGTTTTCAGATTCCAATTTAAAATGTGCAATTGAGTAATTGATTTATTTTGTACTTTTTCATTGAAAGAGATGTATAGTACTGTAACATTTAAGAGAATGTGTCATCATACTTATGAGTTTACTAGATTTATGAGAATTATACATTGTTATCCTATAGTATAACCAAAGACTTACACAAAGAAAAAACAAATCAACAAAACCCACAATGCAATGATTAATCTTGGGGCTACAGGAGAGGTTGATGAACAAAAGAAAATTTAATCATTGTTCATATCTATAATGTAAACATTGGCTCCTGATTAACAAAAACTATGATCTAACTACAGGCTAAGAAAAATGTGTGTTGTGGAAGGGGACCTATGACAGACACCTTTCATGACAGAGATAGTAGGTACGTAAAACTGTAAAATCAAGTAATAGCAGTATAAAATGCATTATTTAGAAGTAGGAAGTACAGGGGTAACTGGGTGGCTTAGATGGTTAAGTGTCTGGCTCTTGATTTCAGCTCAGGTCATGATCTTGTGGTTCGTGAGTTCAAGTCCCATATTGGGCTCTATGCTGACAGCATGGAGCCTGTTGGGGATTCTCTGTCTCCCTCTCTCTGTCCTTCCCTCATTAGTGCTCCCTCTCAAAATAAATAAACTTAAAAGAAATAGGAAGTATATACCAAAAGAAACAACTAAAAGAGCTAAAAGGGGCTGCTTCTGAAGAACTGTGAGTAGGAAAAGATGGATCTTTGTATTTGTAACATTTTGATAAATATTAAAAAACTTGTTCTCTGCCCCCTATGATTTTCATAGCATCCTAAAAGTAATGATACCAGAAGCTTCTGTATTAAGGGGAGGAAATGTCAGTGGCTTTGGGTTTCATGTTTTCAGTACAGACAGGAGTGTACACCTGCATTAGCCTCAGCCAATTTGGAGAACACTGCTAGAAGAGCTTTAGGAAGGCATCATCCGATGCAGTGCCTCCACAGCGTAACTGCTCCTTTTCAGCCTTGGCAATAACGGAAGTCATCGCTGAAGTCAGCCAGAGTGAGAAAGGAGGGAAGCATCGGAGCACACCTAACACACTCCCAGTGGTCTCAAGAAGCATTTGAGATGGGTCTGAGGTGAGTCTGGTCAGAGATAGAAAAGATGAGTATTGTAAAAGCATCGACAGATGTTTTACCCTGTGTCCGAAATGACTTAGCACTTCATATACCCAAGTTAGAGAAAAAAAGAATATTCTTTTATATCCTTTGGTAACAAAATAACAGGTTCACTTTTACTTTTTTTATTAAAAATTTTTCTTTATTTATTTTAAGAGAGAGAACAAGCAGGGAAGGGGCAGACAGAGAGGGAGAGAGAGAATCCCAAGCAGGCTCCTTTTTCAGTGCGGAGCCTGATGCAGGGCTCAAACTCACAAACTGTGAGATCACCACCTGAACTGAAACCAAGAGTTGGACAGTTCACTGACTGAGCCACCCAAGTGCCCCCACTCTTACATTTCTTAACACTGCTTCTCTGAGTCTTCCTCTGGTTTGATTATTGAAATAGTCTCCTTACCTGCAAGACCTTTGTTGGTATTATTCAGAAAATATACATACTTTCCCAATTTTTTAAAGATGCAATGGTAAGATGAGAGAGAAAACTACATGTAACTACTTACTCAGTTTCCTGTTCAAGGCCAAAATCAGATGTGTCTTCATTGCTAGAAGTGTATCTGTCATAACATTCACTCATCAAAGACTGAAATGATGTATAGATCTTGCATGTGTTGTTGCGGACTTTTAGTTGACGGACTCTGGGCACTCCTAAAAGTATGCTTTCATAGTAGATGCGACTGCTGTTCTTTAAATTATACAACATCTTGTTTGTGTACCATGCGTCCCAGTACAGACCTTCCAAAAGGGGTCCTTCCATAAACTTCATATAGAAAGATAGACGTTATGGGAAAAATATTTTCATTCAATTGTATAACAGAATCTGCATTCACAATGTTACCTTAAAAGCATGAGTCAGTAATTTTAGGAGTATGAAAATTATTGATCAAGCTGCCATTAACATTAATGGAAATGATGTCGATAAGGATAATGAAGATGGTTAATATTTACTGTGCTCTTATGTAGGCACCGCTCTAGTTCTTTAGAAATACTAACTCCTTTAATTCCATAACCCTTTACCCTTTCTTATATGAGGGGTATATTAACAACTGCCCCCTAAAACATGAGTATCAAAGCCCATAGCCACGTATTCATGGTTGTCATGGCGCTAATTCAGGACATCCCCTGAGTTGTCTTTGTTGCCTTTCCCCACCAACTCCAGCGGTGGTAACTGCTACTCCCGGCTCTGCCCTTCTAAGAGGCCCCAAACCCAGGGTTCAGGTTTTTCTTTTCTGCCTTCATTTTCTTTGCCACTGGCCATGTATACTTCAAGACAGTACAATAAAAAAAAGAAGCAGGGTTATCTCTGCTTCTAGTCTCGGGGAAAATTTCCTCTTTCTTTCATATTTCACCTGGTCTATATCAACGACCTCGAATCATCTGCTCTCATCTCACACTTTCCCTCTTCCTCTCAGGAAGTGACCCTGTCTCCTTCATAGGTTTTAAATTCCTAGCATGACATTCATGATTTGACCTCTTGTTCAGTTTATAGTTTGGCCTTTTCCACCTCATCTTCTATATGCCTATAATGCCAAACAAAGTGCCATATGTGGAATTACTTATAGCATATACTGTTTCTTCTTCCTAGAATGCCCTGTTACTCATCCTTTAAAACTCAACTGAATTGTCATCACCTCTGGAAAACCTTCCTATCTCTTCCTTATATGCCCTGATGTTTGCGAATTGGGATACCTGAAACTTCTCTTAATTGTTCTTTCCTAATAATGTGAGCATCTTGCTAAGCTAAATGTAATGGGGAAAAAAAAAGTCTATTTCAATGCTGATGAAATGATTCTCTCACATAATTAAAAACACTATAACATTATATTTTACATATGTACTATTTATTTGATTATATACTGTACATTACTGTAATATACACAGTATAGGGCTGTATACCAAAATTACATGTATTTCACTTTATGGGACATTTAAGGATTTTTTAAAAAGTTCATTTTTTTCAGTAATTTCTTACTCCCATAGTGAGGCTCAAGCCCATAACCCCGAGATCAAGAGTCACCTGCTCTTCTGACTGGGCCAGCCAGGTGCCCCTGTTTAAGGATTTTTTAAGACTAATTTTCACTATACACAACCACAGTTTGATGTGGATCCTAACCCCACATGTTTTTCCAACTGCAAAGACAGTGTTAAAAACATATAACTTTTTAAAAATTATAAAAACTCTATTACACTGAGAGCATAGGTTCTCAATATACACTTACTAGCTGGTTAATTCTAAAAGTTTAAAGAAATGATATTGATTTTTACTCATTCCTTCAACGAATATGTCTCCAGTGCCTATTACTTGTGCCATGAGTTTGTTTATGCAATACCATAAGCTACTTCATCCTCAGTCACATGATACCTTACCTTCCAAAAATCAGTTATGCTGCGAATAGATTTAAAGTTGATTCTTTCATCACCAGGCACAGAAGTGTCCAAAAATAGAGATGACATAACTTTGTTTAAGTAATACATATGTGGGTTTACCATGCCAAAAGTCACTAAGGAGAAGAATTTTTGTTTAAAAATTTACGTTTAAAAAATCAGTTTATCAGGTTTAAAAATTAGTTAAGTTTTTTCCCCCAATTTTGTTTTGAAAATCCAAATTTTTTCTTAATTATAAAAGTAATTAAAAAAATGAAAATGGAAATACACAAAACAGGAAAAACCTTCCTGTCATCCCACTGCTAGAGCTAGGTTTAGCACATATTCTTGAGATTTTTCTATATGCCTACACATTTATAAAGAAAATAAGTTTATTTTTTACAAAAATGAGATCATATTATACATACTCTCCTGCCAGTTAGCTTTCTCTCTATTTTGACAGTAGCAATATAATGGTGAATAGTAAAGCTATGGACTTTGAATTCAAACAGATAATGATTTGAGTCCCATCATAGGGATAATCCTCATAGTTTTGTTATGAGAAGTGAGATAATGCATGTGGAACATTTAAACCATGTTTTGGCACACGGTAAGAATTTTTAAAAATATTAACTAATATTCATTCTCTCTCTAGGAATAGGCGGTTAGGTTTTAGAGAAGGGTATAGACTATGTCATCTTCTTTTTTTGCTAGAAGCCTCTTAGTTTTTACAAGTACCTATCTTCAACATTACTTCATGGCACATAAACCTATGCCATGCTTTAATGTTCCATATTATTTCACTCTATATACCAAAATGTTAAAGAAATCCTCTGTTGATGAAGATTTAAGTTGCTTTCAATTCTTCCTAATTATAAAAATCTTTTTTGACATCTCTGAATAATGGAATTGTCTTTTTAATCAAGATCTGACCCAAATTCACTCCTACAATACCAATGAGTTAACTAATAAATACTTGCCAGTGTGTAAGCTATGTCACCATGTTATGTCTGGCCACTGAGCTTACACCTACTATTTGTTGGGCACTCAAAGGATAAAATGCTCTTTAATATTGATTCAGTCAATGCTCTTGACCCAATGCAAGCTGAGATGTTTTCCCAGTCTCCTTAAAGATTTGCATTGTTCTATACCTTCTGTGACTCAGCACCTGCATATTTTACCGTTAACTGTGCAATAGGCCAAGGAAAAGAGCAAAGCAGACAAGACTAATTTCCTTGGCCTCATTTGGAGTTTGACCTATGAAACTGAGCTAATGTATCAACATGGCTCTAACAGACATCACGTTAGAACTGCCAACTCAAGGGAATAACTATATTCAAGAAAGAACTGACAACTAAAAGCAATAATTCAATCATGCTGACTATGATAGTTGTTTCATTACATCTGTGACTTAAAGCTATGCCCTTTAAGAAATGGAAATAGTGTAAATCTTAATGAATTTAAGGTAAGTCTAAAATGAGTCAAAACTTTTTAAAGATGTCTTAGTAGTCTGAGAACCTATGGTTTATAAATTACATGTTTTATTTTCCACCTCCACATAACTCCTTAGTTCAGTGTCTTCATCTACATCTATACTTACATATACATAGGTTTATTAAAAAAATAAAGTAGAGTGACAACTCCTGAAGTGTGGTTCTAATTTCTACTTCCTTTCTGTAATGCAGGGTAGGTTTCGGAGCCCCTGTGAGACATAAAACAATTTTTTTCCTTACATTATTATGTAATTTACAATGTATATAAATAATGATGATGGAACTGTGTTTTCCACTTTTATTCTGATATACTGTGTGAAGGCAAGCTCCAAATGTTTCTCGTTATTTTTTTATTCTCACCACTTTTATGAAGAAGTAATAATTACTAACATTTCCCATGGGGGTAAGCAGGCAGTCATTTTATGATTGTACACTAATGAATTTTATAACAGGGACATTTCCTCAACAGTCCCGTCTGAAAGTGAAAAATCAAAATACAAAAAAATAAAAGATAAGTAAGAAAAGAAAAAAATCCCTCATCTTTATAATCGTTTTCTGTACCGTCTATATTGCTTCTTGGGAAGGCTGGCTTCTGCTGGAGGGATGGTGGACTGAAGGACTTTGGGGAAGGCCCTAGCTACGGTATTTGTACAGCAATCAACAGCTCCCAGCTCGAGCCTCGTGCAAGGGGCTGGTGCCACATCCCCTCAAGGCTTCAGTTTTCCCGTCTGTGAAATGGGATCCCTGTCCACCCCTTCTCATAGATGGGCTACAGGTGCTAGAAGTCTTATTTCACTTGAAAAGATATGGAACTACAGAGTTAACTACCAGGGGATGCGTAATTGCCAAATAAGCCCTGCTCCACCACTCCCTAGGATCACCCCTCACCGCCTCTTTGCCACCGTGACGCCTCAGCCATGGCCGACCTGGAAAACGACACCGTTTGACCTCCCAGGTCTGCGGCGCCTGCGCGTAACTTTACGACATGCGCCACCTAGCTCCTGCGCCTGCGCAAAGCCTCACGGGCCTCCACCAGCGCAAGCCTCTCTACAAGTGGCAAGCGCGCGTGCGCACCGAGGACTCTCTGGGAAGCCGTCAGCTGAGGCGGGGCTGGGAATTGCGGCGTTTTATCTCTGGCGGAGGGGCTGGTTTCTAGGGCAAACCTGGCTTTGGGCCTGGGGTTGGTGGTAAAAGTCGTAGTAATTAATTCTAACGGGCTACTGTTTCTTGAACACCTTTTACATTTATTGGCTTGTTTAGTCTTCACATCCCCCCTTCCTGAAAGGTAGGTGTTTTATCCTCATTTTAGGTCTGGAGAAGCCGAGGCGCTGAGAGGGTCAGTGACTTACCGAAGTCCACAGGTGGCGGGGTCAGGTGTGCAGGACGCCAGAGCCCGAGTGTCTAACCAAGCTCCCACTCTGCCGCCGGTGCCTGCAGACGCCGGTTCTCATAAACCGAGAGCTGCAGCTAGAAGTAGCTCCCACCCCTCTTCCCACCCAATATGGCTAAAGAAAACGATAAAATAGATTTAAACAAAATCCAGCTCTGAAGTTGATGATGAGGGAGCGTAGGCCTAACAGCAGTTCTTGGGAGCCCAGACTCATATCTGGCCCTGAAGCTTTGCAAAGATGGGAAGGGTTGTAAAACAGCTATAGAAAAGACCGAAGAAATTTGTTTGTAAATTAAGGCATCCGAACCCCGCTCCCCAGGATATGAGACAAGAGGGAGTCTCATGTTGGAAAAAAGGAAAATAAAACGGAATTCATTAGAAAGGCCCTAGAGCAGCCAGCAAAGAAAACCATCAGGCTGTTTTTGGAAATAAAGCTGCTCTTGTTATTTCTCTGAAAGAGATGTAGAGTGATGTTGATAAATGCTATTTTATGTGCAGATGAAAAGCAAAACGAGGCCACACAGCAGCGAGGGTCAAAGACTACCAATGATAAAAGAAAGAGAAGAGGCCTAGCAAAAGGCCATGGCCAGTGCATAGGAGGCCTGAGAAGAAAGGGCTAGTATCGTAGCTTAAGGACAGTGTAATAAAAGGATTTTCCCATTCCTGTACCTAGACTCTCAGATGCTCACAAAATGATGTTTTCTATTGTAATAGCTTACCTGAACTTTAAATGTAAGAGGATCCCTTCCCCCGTCAAATACAGGTATTGAAATTTACATGAAATAAGAGAATTAAACAGATGAATCTACAGACTATTCTTAATCCATTCAGCTCAGTAGACTCAGAGGTCTTGAAGATTTAATAGATTTAATTTGAATAAAAGAAAATCACAGTTTCAGGAGTCTGTCAGGATTTAAGTTATTGATGTTGTTTCCTTTTGAAATGCAAATCATGGAAAGTCTAGCTCAATTTCAGGAGGAATTGACTGAGCTGCAAATGAGCTCCATTAAGACACAGTTCTAGAACATTACTATTATTGCTTATTTAGAACTTGTTATTTGTAGGTTTTGCTTGGTGTATAATATATAAAAAGCAAAAGTTCTAAAGATCTAGACTTTTGTGAAGAGAAGACAGTCTGTTTTGAATATTTGAAATTTTATTCTCTTTTGACATTAAGCTTTGGAACACTCAGATAATCTATACCATGTTAGTATTCCTATAAGAGAAAACAGGTAAAACAGTATGTAGAAAGCAGAACCAGTAAACCTTATTACAAACATTAGATGTGGTTAAATAATCTGTAATTGTTAAATGTATATTAATTAAATGTTAAAATTTCACATTTTAAAATAATCTTCTACAATTACACACCCATATGCCCAGATTTTAATTAGGCTTCGCAGACCAGAGAAGATAGAATGTGCAAGAGTCAAAGGATAAATACTATAAACATATATTAGTTATATTACCTAGTTAAAGCCATAGTCTGTTATTACAACTATGGATTTACTTTAAAATTTTAATTGAATATATTACTAATAGTGTAGTTGTTGTGTTTTTCAATGTTGGTAACCTCATTAAAGTTCTTCACTTTCATAGAGTCCGGATTGAGCTGCCAGACGCTGAAATTCTCCTTCGGGGTTAAAAGCTTGTTTCACATCCAAACCTTTACCATTAAGTGCTAAATATTTGCTGAAAGTTGGTCGAACACGTAACTGCTTAGGAGCTGGAAGAGTTTGGTTTTGACGGACTGAAATAGATCACATAGAAGCTGATTCAGAAAACATGTTCTAAACAAGTGGGTTGTACTAGGTATTCAATTATCAGACCAGACAAGAAAAAAAATCAGAACTGTTAGGGGGGAAATCTCTCGCATTTTATACTGTACATTTTTATATTATGCTGAGATTTGTGTTTCTTACTAAATCTTTCTGATTAAGTCCTTTATAACACTTGGATTGATAGGGTCACATACCTGTAACATCTAATCTTGTGTTACATGTGATCACTCCAGCTTCATTAACTGCAGACACAGTGTACCACCCAGCATCTTTCTTGTTTACATCTTTTATCAGTAAAGTAACTCTACCAGAGTTATCATGATATAAACTGGAAAGAAACAATAATAAAAAATTAAAGTATAGGAATTAATTTTCCTGTGAAAGTTTATTTATGATACTTATGATTAAGAAAATGAAGCATCTGGAAGTTCTGAGGCTGTACGTAGTCAGTGCCATGTAGCATTGGTTTTATTGAATTTAACTTCCCCCCACTTAATTTTATTTGTGTTGTTATTTCCTTGAGCCGTCTTTATTGTTAGTAAAAAGGTAAATCCTAGCCTACTGTATGCCTTATGTTTTTGATTAGTGGAATCTGGGTTAATGAGCTTTATTATATTTCTCTACATGTTTTAAAACTAGACAAAGTGAGATTACAAATGCATGCCATTTATAGTGCATTTCAAGTACAACTGGATTCACCCACATAAACTAGAGTTATGTCTAAAAATACTTAGCCTACCTTATTCGGTCAGTGTTGAATTGTACCATTTCATTATTTCTTTTCCAGAAAAGCTTTGGTGGAGGTACAGCTGAGATTTGACATTCTAGCTTCACTGAGTCTCCCTCAAAAACTTTTTTGCTTTGTGGCTTGTAGATGAACATTGGTGCTCTTCTATGTTCTTTTGCTATATATTAATAAAAAATTCAGGTATTTGAAATATTATAAAAAGAAAATAAGTCAAGCCAAGGTATTATGAAATTTGTATGTTGACATAAAAGTTTTAAAAACACTAGCAAGATTGGAAGCTTTATTTTTTGATATTAAACAACATAGAATACTATATTATTATACCATTTTGAGTTCTAGAACAGTACTTTTGCATTGAATTTACAATCATGTTTCATCAAAGAATTTAAGTGATATTCTCATTTATGTCTCTTCTTTTTTTTTTTTTTTTTGACCCCTCTCATCACTTTTATTCAATACAGTATAAGTAATCCAATTTTTTAAATCGGCAAGATATCCCAACTCATTTATGTCTCTTCTATAAGGAGGCAACATGAATGGTGGCAGTACCAGACAATTTAGGTTCAAATTCTCTATTTGCTCCACCAGTCATGTCAAATGGGAAAGATTTGTTTAGTTTTTTTGAGGCTCAGTTTTATCTATTGTAAAATAATTACAGGTAATAGTGACTGCTGTGACTACCACACAAAATTACTGTGATGATCAGCTGAGATAATGAATGAAGAAGCATTTTGTAAACTGTAGAATAGCATACAAATATCAGTAATTATTACATCATTTCTTTAATTACCTGAAGGAAAAGAGGAAATAATATCAAAATACTGTAACCCTAGCTTTTCTGAGGGAGAAATGAAATTGAACAGATGCCTGGCAAGGCCTCTTTCAGCTTTAACATTAATAATATTTCTGGAGTGATTCACACAAAAAGATTTACTCAAAGTTTAATCACTTGAATTGGATTTGTTTGATTCCCAGATCACTAGGTTTCCCTTAGACTGAGGCCCATTATCACATCATAGAATAATCTTAAAGGTTTTTCATTGATCTAAGTAGAATACAAACTCAAGGATATTGTTCATCCTTTAACTTGATCAATATTTTATATAGTCAGCAATAAATTATATCAAAATATCTCTTCTGCAGTACCATGGCTTAAACCATTACAGATGCAATATATATTTAAAGCACTTAAATTCTAATATTTCAAAGTAGTTTTATAAGAGACTGCCTTACTGAAGACCAATTTGAGAAAGGAGTTTAGCCATACCTGTTTTCTAAAGTAAGTAGGCGTGTTTTTTTTATAAATAGACTCGTATCCTAGTAAATAGAACATCATCTGAGGCTAAAAGTTAACTTTTATATCTCAGTTTTAAATTTTATGTGATCATGACAATGCTGTAAAAATAGGAATCAGGTCATTTTAGATGATCTAGAAATGCTTATATCGTTGACTGTTGAATAGTGCAGGGCATTGGGGCACTCCCGCCCCACTGCCGTGCAGTTGAAAATCTGCATATAACTTTTGACTCCTGATAAACTTAACTCCTAATAGCCTACTCTCAACTGGAAGCTTTATTGATAATATGAACAGTCAGTTAACACATATTTTATATGTTATGTGTATAATATACTGTATTCTTATAATGAAGTAAATGAGAAAAAAGAAATTGTCATTTAAAAAATCATAAGCAGGTGAAAATAACACAGTATTGTGTTATAAAAAATCTGCATGTAAATGGACATGCACTGTTCAAACATAGGTTCCCTGAGGGTCAACTGTACTGCCTTATTTGATTTGTCTAAAATTGCACCATTTCTTTATTTCCTTTCTTAAAAAGCTTTGGTTCTAGGTCTCTTGTTGAAGTTTCCCTCAAAAATGCTGTTTCTCCTCCCTCCCCTACTCTGCAGCTGTTAGATAAAAATTGGCATTCTCTTGGGTTGTTTAGACATTGACCTTAAATATGAAGTCCTGTGGGATTTTCTTTTTTAACACTTTTTTTTTTTCTTACTACTGCTGGATTTTAAGGAACTCTTGAAGATCCCTCTGAAGGCTTACCCAGGACATCCAGCTGTACAGTAAAGGTGGCTTCTCCTGCTCTGTTCTTGGCAACACATGCATAGGCCCCTGCATCTGAAACTCTGACCACTTCAAAGATGAGTGAATGGAAACCCTTTTCAGACACTATCATTTTGTGAAGGTCATCTGATTGAACTGGTCTTCCATTCAGATACCATGACACATCAGGAGCTGGCAGTCCGCTTACCTGGAAAGGAAGACACAAGAAGGAGATGACAGAATTTTAAATTATATCATCACTGGTACCTATTTGTCCATTTAAAGCTTTTAACAGTTCTAGTATCTGAGTGGGTTTGTGATTCAAAATGCGAAGCAGAAGCTTAAAAAAGTGTTTGCTTTCAACAGTGTTTTAGCAAAACAGTAGAAATTAAAACTCTTGAAGTCAGTGTAGTATTTTCAGACTACATCAAACCATATCTAGCTCTTTTGTATGCACTCTCAGGCCCTGTAAGATCTCTCAGTTAATATATTTAGAAAATTAATTTATGTTATATAGGTCTCCCCAAGAAAAATGAAGTGATAGGACTTTTTGGATAGTGGTAACTGTAGTTGAAGTCCCAGAGGGATGTACTTGTGATGCTTGCTAATTTAATGGATGACTTTACCAAAATAGAGTGCTCTTGAGCTGTAATTCTGGTGTTTAAATTCTAGTTTGTTGAGTGTTCTCATATAAACCTTAACAATTAAATCCATACACTGACTTTCATTCACAAGAAATCCAGAAAAATATTTTATAGAAAAATATCTCCAAAATGAGAATAATAAAAATGTCCATCTTTCTAAAGATAACTTCTAGCATGAAGATCTCTTCTAAGCCAGGTGAGCAGGTTGGCTTGAATTTCTTAATGGAGAAAAATTAAAGAGGCATTCTGCTTTAGAAATCCTGTTGGTTTGATAGCTTTACTTACATAGATTATGTATTGGGGGTAGGCACTATTGTGAGTACATAATGTCTGTTTACTCAGTTAATCCTCATAACAACTTTATGAGATATATTTGTTACTCTGCCATACAGATGAGACAAAAGCACAGGAAGGTTAAGTAACTTATATAAGGTTACATAGCTGGGAAGTGGCAAAGCCAGGATTCAAACCCGGGTAAGGTTGGTTCCAGAATATTTGTTCTTATCTACCATACGTGCTGCTTGTTACGGTGTGTAGCAGGTTATGAAGAGGAAGAGGACACTTTTCAAAATAGTATCTTGTTGCTATTTTTCCTTCAATATAATTTTGAACTCTTACTTTGAAGTCCATTCTGCAGAATCTTCCTTCTTCAATTGACATGTTCTCTGGCACTTGAATGAAACGAGGTGGGTAAAATTTCTCCTGGATTGCATCCTGATCATTCACATCTCCCCTTGAAGATGATCTGCTTCTACAAAAATATTTTAATAATCACTATACAGGAAAGTTGTCTTTGTTGTTCCTTTTACACAAAGATAGTTTAGCTATCGTATTGGAATCCCCAGAGTCTATGCTATTTAGTGTGTCAGTGTAATAACAATAGAGAGAGGCCTTAGGACTGTATTTAGTGATGGCGTATTTGAAGACTATTAGAAATGGTAGCAATTTAGGAAGATCTGGTACAAAGTATACATCTTTATTTCTTTTATACAGTGCTACAAACTGATGAAGAAACTGATCTGTTAAAATGGAGAGTACTTCCCATGGACAGTTCTTATCATGTGCAATGATTTGGTAATTAGTATTCGGTTTTGATTGTCATGAGATATTTGCTTAACATGGACATGTGGTCCTGGTTTATTTGACCAAAACATACAGTTTTAAGCTGAAAATATTTTTGGTAGCAAAAGAGATAGTTCTTTAAAAATTAAAAAAAAATTTATTTACCTTACTTGTGATGTAGGAACTTGCAGTCGTGTGTGTTCTAGGTTGTGCTGTTTGAAATTATAACAAGGTGAGAATGTTAATATGTGGTTACTAGCTTGAAATGAAGCAGAATTAAGAAGTCATAGTTGAAACGAACATTTCTATATTGGCTGTATTTGTGCAGTTATGGTTAATTCCATATACAGTAGATCCTTGAACAATGCAGGTTTGAGCTGCACAGGTTCACTTATTATGTGTTTTTTTTTTTTTTTTTTTTTTTTTAAGATAAAATACACTCCAGTACTTTAAATGTATTTTCTCAGCATTTTTTTCCTCTAGCTTATTTTATTGTAATATAGTACATAATACATAAAATGTACAAAATCTATGTTAATCTACTTATTAGTAAGGTCAACAGAAGGCTTTTAGGTAGTTAAGTTGTTGGAGAGTCAGAAGGTACATGGGGATTTGAACTGTATGGGGGGGGTCGGCACCCCTAACTCCTGTGTTGTTCAAGGATTAACTGTATTAAGTACTTACAATATGGTGCACTGACTTTATAATATTCTTGCAAGAAATGTCCAGAATTAAAAGGACTGTTTAACAGTAATGATACATGAAAATGAGCTAGACTTTGAATTCATGGTAGTTCATTTTTTGTATGACTGCTTTATAACAAAGGGAAATATGTTCCCCTGGTGTATTTGAAATGGGAGCACATGGTACGGATTGTCCTTTAGTAAAACAGGAATAGACATGAAGTCACTTGTGTTGGCAGTAGATACAAGGTATTATGCCCACTGCTCAAAAGTACACCAACAGCAGTAAACACATATTAGACTGGAAAATGCTTCTCTTTTTAGCTCATGGCACAAAATCACGATGGACACCATGGAAGATGTATGTAGAGTTACGAGAAGGTTTGAAAACAATATTAATTACTTCCTGCTTAATAAAAGTTTATTTATTTATTTATTTTTACAAATAGTTTATTGTCAAGTTGGTTTCCATATAACACCCAATGCTCATCTCCACTGTAAAAGTTTATTTAATTTAAACAAACATCTTTTAGGATTTATATCTGAGTACCAGAAAATTCTTTCCATTTGAGAAAAAAAAAGAGATTGATGGAAATCATAATTAATTGTCAAATACTTAGAGCTTATTTTATGTATTTCACTGTGCTTGGCACAGCAGAGGAGACGAGTGAAAAACATATCCCTATCCAAATATCTGAAAAACACCTATAATCTGAGTATACATTATTTATTTGGGAATAAATATGTTTAATGTATTTGGTCATTTTAAAATAATATTCTTACAACTCTTAACAATTTTTGGCTAGTCTTAAGGTTCTCTACGCTGGATGTCAGAAGAACAATTCACTTATCAGATCAACTAATTTTTTGGTAAAAAGTAAAAATAATTTAATTAAACCCAGAAAACCCAAATTAAATTTTTTGCTTTTTCATACTGTAATGATTTAAATATGTATATATTCATATTGAGAGATGTAATCTTTCAGTTTTATATAATTTGGTAACAATTTAATTATTAGAATGTTTGAAGTATACACAAAAATCTAAGATTTATCTTTTCTGATTTCATGATACGTTTTGCTATCTCTTTTCTTGGTACTGTCAACTTCATTTTAATGTTGTTAAAGAATGAATGAGAAAAATAATTCATCCTTGTCCTCAAAATCATACACTGTGAATTTATAAGGTAAGCTGTCAATATAACATTGCTTTGAGTTATTTCTACTAATAGAAGTAGGTTTGCATCTTATTCTTACTGTAATCTTTACCAGTCCAGAGTCCAACACACAGTAGGTGCTCCATGTAAGTTAATTGAATGAGTGAATGTATGAACTGTTCATTAGCCAAAAAGAGGCTTAAGTTCTTTTTTCAGTCTCTAGTTATTTGCATGGTTAGACCCTGCTCCATCCTTTTGAGTAGGTCTTGTCACATATAACAGTAACAAAAATCCTATTTTCAGCTTCCAGTATTTAGGAGATTGGAGTCTTAGATACCCAGTTTCATCCCTTTGGTGCCCAGTTTCTTGTGAACTTTTTGGGAAGAGATGAGAGGTAACTACAGAAGGAAGACCACAGTAACAGTTCAGTCTGTCTCTCCAACTGAATATTTATCTTTAGGGTTACATTTACATGTTAGAATGAAGTTGATCAGGATCAAGCCTGTGAGATATTCACTTTATGCCCTCCATAAAGTTTATATGTTTGTGGAAAAGATCTGTTTGTTAATCTTTTGTTAATCTTGAGCCATTACTCAAGGCTTTTTAAAGTTTTTGTTGTTGCTTGTTTTATTTTTAATAAGCATTTTTGAATACAGAAACTAAGGGAATTGGATATTTCATTAGTTACACAATTTTGTTTTATTTTATTTTTTATTTATTTTTTTAAAAAATGTTTTATTTATTGCTAGGAGAGAGAGAGAGAGCGTGAGCAGGGGAGGGTCAGAGAGAGAGGGAGTCACAGACTGAAACAGGCTCCAGGCTCTGAGCTGGCAGTCAGCACAGAGCCCGACGTGGGGCTCGAACCCACAAACCGCGAGATCATGACCTAAGCGAAAGTCGGACGCTTAACCGACTAAGCCACCCAGGCGCCCCACACAATTGTATTTTAAAACATTGAAATGATTAGCAACTTCTTATGAGAAAAGGTTATAATTACTTTGGTTTAGAGTTTAAAACTTCTTTTAAAGACTTACAACTCATAAATTCTCTATCCATGTGGACAATGGAAGAAGAATCCTAGGTGTAATGGACCTCTAAAGGTCCAGATGGAGAGTGACACTGTTAGCCTTCTGGTGTTTTGACTTTGTGACATTTCATATGCAGATATTAGAACACCAGAAAATAGAGTAAAATTTTAAATTTCTCTATACAATTTGGCCTATTGTGGACTCTCCTTTTTATATGTAATGGAGCATGGAAGTGATTGACTTTTGCCTCAAATAATATTTATAAGCATTTGGAAAAACAGACATTTGAAAATGACACTAAGGAAAAATACTCCAGTTAGTTAAAGATTATTTTAATTTACCTGTGGTGAATCTTGTGCTTCACTGTCATTTTGAGCTTGAAACACAGCAGCTGCATTCTGTGGTCCTAGCAATCTGCGAGCCATCTTCTCCTCGTATGTTAGCCGCTTTAAAGAAATCAATCATTAAGGAGAGAGTAATGAGACTTAATAAAAGTTGCTTGTACACCTTTACCTTAAAACCACCAAGAATTCTACCAAGGAAGGATAATTCTGTCTGTTGAATTAGAGCTATATACTATAGTTTTAAAACTTTTTCATTCAAAGCATTTCCCTTCCATTCTAGTGCCACTTTCCTCATCTGTAATATTCACTTCTGTTTTCTTCTTGCTCCTAGGAAAGGCAGGCATAATTACCCTTAAGTAAGGCTCTCCCAAGTAAAGGGAAATTCTTCATGTTTTTTGTCCTGCATGTTGCCATTGATTCCATCTTTGAATATAGTGCTGAATATCCCCACATTGAGAAACAACTTTTATTAAATGAACACTGAATATTTGATTTAATTTCTGGTTGAAAGCATTGCACCTGATGTGTTAGATGTATTTGGACTGAAGACATATGGTACTGTTTCAAAGAGAAGTGACTAATACAGTGGGTATAGTAAGAGTTCTCTCATAAATATCATGACTGTCCATCAGTAGTATACACCAAGGTACATGAAGAAGTCAAAGTGAGTGACAGTATCTCCTATTGGTTATTTGATCATCAGATATATTTTATGAAAGAGTAATGCTTAAAATGGAAAATCTTCAGATTTCTTTTTCTTTTTTTACTTCATTCTTTTATTTTACATTCTTCTTTTGCATCCTTCTTTTACTACTGAAAACCAATAGGTTATTTTATGCAGAGTATTTGGTATTGTATCCAAATATCCCCTTTTTTAGATATTCCTATCCCTTGTAGATTGTATGGACAAAGATCTGTGAGACAGACAAAGATTTTACAGTTTAATTGGCTTTTTATACAAAAGAGACATTTTGCTTACTTGATTTCCATTATGAAGAAGGCTGTCCTTGGATTTTAGCTTTCTCTCCAAATCTTGAATCAGAGCTTCTTTTGATCCTTGTATTTCATGGTCAGGAGTCCTTGGTGTGGGCTTATTAGCATTTGCACTTTGGGATGGTTTAGCATTTATAGGTTGGCCAACTGAGAGTTGTTGATAGCTTTAAAAAAAAAGAAAAAATTTTTCTTTGAAGTTTTTATTTATTTTGGTAACCTCTACCCTCAGTGTGGGACTTGAACTTAGGACCCTGAGGTCACGAGTTATATGCTCTTCTGACTGAGCCAGCCACGCACCCCAGAAAAAAAGATTTTTAAAACAGATCCTCAAAGTACAATATGATACTAAAGTAGACTTGACCTTATTTTGTCAGTTACTTTTTGATAGTTGAATCTACCACCATTTAGTACTGGTAGTATTAGTATTATTAAAAACACCAATTTCCTAATAATAGTCAAGAAGGATTTAATAAGAATGGTTACCAGCTTTTTTTTTTTTTTTTTGTCTTGCCAAATTAAAATTCAGTGGCAGGAGGAACAAATTAGATTAGGCATAAGGAGGATGTTCTTCCTCAAAGATCAGTCCTAAAAAAGTGAAGGTAAGTCTAGTTAATAGCAGTTTGTGAGCCCTTCCAATCTTGTAATTGAGTTTGGTAAATTTGATTTATGGGTAGATACTACTCAGATCCCTGTGATCTCATGTTGATAGTTTGAAGTTGGTGGTGGTGGGAGTATCTACACCAGAGAAGTAGGTAAATACCAAAAATCATGGCTTCTTTCTCCAGAGCTGTAAAACATTCTAGTATAATTACAGGCATTTAGTAACTATTCTTTTGGCTTTGAATGGAGTGTACAGTTGTCATAGTCTCTGGCTTTCCTATTAATTTCCAATTCCTGTTAATTTCCTATTTTACAAAATTCAAGTGTAACAAATTGCTTTTACAGTAATGATGTTTTCTTCAACATAGCTAAAATGAATTTTAGGGAAAGAAAGGAATGATTAGAGGAGGAAGGAGAAAGAAATGTAACCTGAATGAGAATGCGGGTTGGGGAAAAAGAAAGCAAATTTGAGTAACATTGAAGAGTTTGATTTAAATCTGTATTATAAATTCTAATCCTAAATTATCTGGAAAGATGTTTTTCCTCTCCCCGAGTTCCCCTGTTGATTCTGATAGAGTATAGGAGTAGTACTCAGGACCTCTTGTGTTAGTTTTATAAGGTAGCTTGTCCTTCACAGTTGTTTGTTCAGATTTCACCTAGTTTATTCATTTAGGGCCCTGCAGGTGTGCTTTTATATCTGTTTAGTGCAGGAAAACTAGCCACTGCTCTCAGTGAATATTTTAGTATTATCATAATAAATGTTCTCCAGTTAGCAAGATGAGGCACTCTGGGTCTGTTCTCTGACCTGTTCCTTTTGAGATATCCTCAAGGGTCATTAATAACAACTTATAAGCTAAGTGGTAATGTATCTCCTCCAAGAGAAGCTAGAGTTTTAATTCTTGCAGGCTTTGGGGACTTGGTTAGTAATCTCTAGATTGTAAACATACTCAAGTAAAAAAAATGGCTTATTACTCACCACTGTAATGTTTATTTTCACTAACACAGAGTCTGGGTATAGGGGATACTTTATCTCTTGAATGAATGAATGTTTTTCGTTTGATTCAAGATTCTCTGTATTGAAAGTTGATGGTGTACATTTCTCCTCCTTACATGCCAGGTCTTTGAGGTTGTTTATATGTAATGCTTAACTAAAAGTCTGATTTGTTCAGTTAAGTAAATAGCTAAACAAAATGTTTAAATAAATAGTTGTGTTTATGTTTTCTGTTTTTTTTTTTTTTTGTTTTTTTTTAAAGTAGGCTTCATGTCCAGCGTGGAACCTAGTACCGGGCTTAAACTCACATCCCTGAGATCAGACCTAAGCTGAGAGACCCACAATAGGCACCCTGTTTTTTTGTTGGTTTTTTAAAGATTGAATTCTCATGTCAGAGTGGTAAAATTCCTTTCGTGTTAAAAATCTCCCTATTTTTCTAACTGTATGGAGCTATAATAGCCTATTTTTCTTAATGTTAGCCTACCATCTTTATAGAAGTCACATGCTTATTAAAGTGAGTTAGAATTAAACAATTTTGTTTTTAGGCTGTTATGTTATAATGCAGTCTATCTGAGAAATCCTGAGGGATTATTAAAATCAGTCCTGAGAATCACTGATGTGTATGTCACCTAGTCATTTTATTCACTGAATATCCATATCAGTTTAGATGGCCTAAATGTTAAGACTAGATATATGCTCATGTTTATAAACTCGTATTCCTTCCCTCTGCTTTATAGGTCTTTCTTCCCCCCTATCATTAATCACCCAAATCCTTAATTTTGCTATAGGTCATACATTTGAATCACCATGCGGGTAAGGCACACTTGCTGAATGTCTCACAGCAAGCTTTTTGAATGGACTAATTAGAGTTCTCCTCAATTACCAGTTTATGGTTTGATCAACTGAATAAAATGTTTGCTTAAAGGTTTCCTACAGATGAAAAGCTAAATAAAGCTTTCAAAGCAATCTAGGTCAGAATCCAAGGGATTATTTTAGAAGACTGGGCAAACTTAAGCCCACCATAACAATGAGGGAGTTGTGCACACATGTTCAAAGGGCCAGAACTTTGCACCATGTGCAGCTGGACACTGAATGGGTATCAAGTGGCTGTGGGAAGATTAAAAGAGTTATCTGTGGTTGCTGCAAATGGAACAGCTAAAGCTGTACATTTGATCTCTGGTTTGGGGACCTCCTATGCTTTATTTCTTATCCTCCATTTTTGCCTTTCTCTCTTAGTTCTGTGCACAGAGCTAGGAACGTGGTTGTGGTTCAGGAATATTTACTTGATGGCTCTCATAATTTGGAATAGGATTGAAAGACTACTAAGAAAAATAGTAGTGTCAGAAAATGTTATTTTAGGTTTAAATGTGCTTCATGTAGGAAATTTGAAAAATAATGGAAAGCTAGATGGAAAATGGATCATTTGGCTAGATTGTAACCAAGAAAAACCTACATTGTATGATAATGGGTATAATAGGAATTTTGGAGGGAAGAGAGAGAGAGACCTTAAAGTCTTCTTTAAAAAAATATTAGGTCAAACCTATAAGAATGCCGTTTTTGTAGGTGAAAAATAGTTGGCTATCAGCTATTTCAGATGGGTCAACCTAGTATCTATGGGATTCTAACAAATGTTTTTGACTTTCCTCGTTTTTATTTTCTAAAATGTTGAAAAGAATTCTTTGCAGATTGAATTGCTGTAGTCCATTAAACTTAGCTTCCAGAGTTGTCACCAATAGTAGAAATCTCTAGAAAAATTGGCTTTTGGGGAATACTGAGAGAATTATCAAGAATCTAAGCAAATCTTTTGATAAGCCTGCAACAAAACATTCCATCAGGCAGTTTTTCAGATGTCTCTGATTTGATTATCTGATGTTTTAGCCAGCCGAGGGACAGGAAAACTGATAGCTCTCGGTTTGCATAAGCACAAAGTATTCAGTTCATGTTTTAAAAAAAGCACAACCACTGTGTCCTTATTCATATCAAGTTCTCCTAGGATAGTTTTAGGCTTTGGAAGTAGTACATGCTTGCATAAGCCTCCAGGTATTCTCTTTATTTAGACTGAACAGTCAGCTCAACCAATTTGAACAATGTGTTGTGTTTTTTTTTTTTTTAATTGCCAAAGGAAACCTTAAGGTCATTTATCAATTCAAGCCTTTCTTCTTCTGATCATAGCAAGGAAAATTTATGTACTTCACTGATGGAATCCCAGATTTTCATTAAACAAACAAACAAAACATGTTTTTAAGCCAAGTGATTGTTCAGGATCAGAGGGGAAAATGGATAGGAAGAAAAGACTAATAAGACTGAGAAGAAATTGAATAGCCTCTGCTTATGTGAGAGGAAATCCTATCTGAGGAAGAGCAGACAGGTGCTCTTCATCTCAGCTGAGCCCAGAACGAGAGCAATTAAATTTATAGCATGAGGACCTTAGCTGAGAACTGGGAGAATAGCTCACTGTTCTTGGGTATATTAGAAATCTTCTTTTATTGAAGATGGAAAATTATAGGTAAGT